AAATCAGTGGTGTCAGGAAGGTTAACTTCTTAAAACATCCAGTGGAAAAATTCATATTTTTGGCGAAAATAGCCAAAAGAAAAAATCCGCAACTGGGTGAGCCTCCGGGCCGAAATGGTCGGTCAGTGTATTCGACCGGATGGTCCAACGTTTCTCATTGGTCAGACAGCGTAGTCAACCGGACGGTCCGACAACTTTGATTATACCGAACGTTCAGAACGCACCAGAGGCAATAAATAGAACGAATGCTAACCCGTAAAGATAAGAGGAAGAAACACCTTTTTTAATATACTGTCCTGATCAGCGGTGAACCAGCTCAACGATCTGCTCGCACATATCGTGAGAATCGCTCACTGCTCCACACATGTTACTCATATATAATGTGAATGGCACCTCACCACTCTGTCGGAAAATTGCAGTGTCGGAACCCGAGATCATACTTCGATATGGCACAAGCCAATCACTCCATGTAGAAGTGTAAGAATGGAACAGAGAAAAATATACAAAAAGCAATGCAGTAAAACAACGAACTGCACACCTTGACTATTGAACTTATCATTCTTTTGGACAATTGATCTATCTGACATTACACACTGATTTAGTTGTGGTGAACACCAAATGCGAATAAACCAGAAAAATTGCGATTTTCACTGTTCTGAAAGATCTACGAAACAAGGGGTTTCTGAATACATACCTGAGTATATACGACGGGGCTATTCGCTTATTGGTCGACAACGAGCACTGAACAATAGCTTCGTCCTTGTTGGAACTCATTAAAGAACATTTCACTATTGTGTAACTTTTGCGACGGGGAACACGAACTTTCCGAAAACACAAGACAATCAGACCCGGTGCTCCATATCTGTAAGTCATCTGAGGATAACATTCAAGAAACCTGAATGTCTAGAATCAGGATTGACCCATTATCTGCGTGGCATGGATGTACAACGTGCGCAATAACGTTGATGTAGCCAGAAGTCAAAAGACCGAGCAGTAGACAGGAACAATTAGCAGAGCTTTACCGAGAGCAACTTTACACTGTGATTTATTGCTGCTGATGTTGAGTTCATAGTAGGACGGGAAGTCACAAAAAATTCATCTGCTAAATGAAGGCGATGTTTCAACATCAACCTGGAAGACCGCACTAGGAAAGGTGGATACTGTTAGTACTTACGCATGACAGCCGCGTTCCAACAATACTACTGTTTTCTTTCGCTTGGCTGCTCGAGAAGCGGGCTACATGGGTTGCACCGATTTTAACTCACTGTATTTCAACACAGACAATGGGTTGATAGCGTTTAATAAGCAGAGAGCAGCACCAGCCATAGAAGCTAAAATATTGTAAAAGCCGTAGATTAGCGAATACCCATATATTTATTCTTTCAGAATAATACATTTATTTAAGTATAGAAACATGCGTTCGACGGGGACAGTTAAGTCATCAAACACCAGTTAGATCCACCATTTTACCGAATTACCTCGTGGAAGCAGGCACAAACCAGACCAAAGAAAGTTCTGCAATAACAACTTACTAACTGCCGTAGTTCGAGACCAACCCTGAACCCAAAGTAGAATAACATGGACTTCTCTCCAACCTTTTAGGGCTCCTGAGCTTATATTATCAATACAGACGGTATATTCTTCGACCGCAGACATCGCTCAACTGATTCGGTTTTAATGGGAGTAACATGTCAGTAAGGAAGGTACGATGCAGTAATTTTGGGAAGTGGACAGTAGCACGATTAGATAAATGCAGGCATATGCGGACATTTTGTACACAAAATGATCAGATTTCCAAACGGACCCAGTTCAATTCTAAGTTTCAGTATTGCAAACAACCAGTGGTTGAAGACTTACAGATCATTAGCAGAGTTCAGCCTAGCTTGAACCAAGCTGAGGCACTCAGCCTTAGTCCGATCCATGGAGGTGCGTGTGCATCTGTTGACTGCAACGCAGATAGCAATGAAATTATTCTAGGGACAGAATTTGGAAATCTCGTAGAAAAAAATTTTAGCATTTCGCATGCCAATAGATTTTGATTTAGTTCCACCATCCAATAGAAACGCTACGATTCCTTTCTTGGTATTTCAGAGCTATTGCTAAGCTGTTGAATGTATCTTTTAATGCTCGAAAATTTGCATTTGAAACAAAACAAGTGGTTGAATTCCAGGCGGTTATAACCTCAGTGGAATTTTACGCAGCAACTTTTTCAGCACCTCGGTCGAACCAGGGCATAAAACAATGCATGTCCACAAGCGCGCCTGACCGTGATAAACAGTTGACCGTTCATTGTATCGCGGCTCGCATTTCTTACAAGATCGACCAAAGTCAGCTGCCGTGTTGTTGGCTCATTCTCACCTAAGGCCGAAAAACAAGAAGACCCCAGCTTTAATGTATACACAAACATCTCCATCTCCGGGGATTCGTTCACACGGTCAACCATCAGTAGTATTCTCGTTGTTAAGACCTTTGTCTGAATAGCACTGATAGTAAGAGCATATCCACTGTACTGGTTGCAGGCGGGCAAGTGCCATACCGCTGTCCAAACATCCCAATCCTATTGCCCAGGCTACAAGTACTCGTTCTGTAAACGCACTGTTCAGCCTTCTCCCCCGCCGCCAACAACAACCTTCTAACTTGGGCGTTGAAATTTCACATGATCCAAATAATATATGCTGGGCATATACATTACAACAGGAAAAGTGGTCGGGGAACGGAGACATGTTCACTAGGTGTCCGTGCCCAGACTTGAATTTACCACGATTAAACTATTAGGTTTTATCTCATGTCTCACTACAGCATCAACCACAGATTGGCCTTGCGTGATCCATCGCACGACAGACCTTAATTAATTTTGTGGGGGATTATTCAAATCGTGATGACTATAGCCATAGTATGCAGTAAACAATGATATCATGGTATCGCGTAGAAATGTGGCTTTTCGTAGTGTCGAGTACATCGTGGAGAAACTGTATATAGGGAACAAAAATGGAATTACACTGTTTCAGGAGAGTTTCAATTATTTGTTCAAATTGTTGTTTGGCAGATTTGAAGTTTGTATGTCGAGATTATGAAAAAGTTCAGTAGCCTCGATAGGATTCGAACCCACTCATGGACGCCGCCTACGCTTTGTACGCACATGCTCTATCAGCTGAGCTGCGAGGCCACACCGACAGCACTGATCTTTTCACATTCGAATTCACCCATACAATTAGTTTGCTATCAAGTATTTGCCAGTTTCATATAGGCGTCAACAAGACGGTTGTCCATACAGAACGTTGCGGTGTATAGTTTAAGATCCGTGATAGAGTGAAGTATGAAATTCAGTCTAGGGGACGTAATCTGGTAGCTCAATAGGGATCGAATTCATGGAGCCAAGGAACACGGTAAAAGAATGTTTTGGGTGTTTGGAGAATTTTGACTCTGGTCAATCTGAGGACGAAACAGATCGAGAGGGCGTGCCATGATTCTTCAAGTAAAATCGCAAATCAATAGCACCGTCTGCCATTCATTCT